ATGCCCTTTTATACACGATGCTGATGGTGGTTATATAATGACAATGTCCGGTGGTAATAACTTGTATTTCTTCCGGACATACATCACTGCGCACATCGTGCAGAGGTCGGTGTTTTATCAGCTAGCACAAAGCGTAGTAATATTTCGAAACCGACCTTCCCTAAACCTCGGTGTGATTAATCAATATGTATTCTTTCTTGATAAGCTTGATGTCCGGAAGAAATACAAGTTATTACCACCGGACATTGTCATTATATAACCACCATCAGCATCGTGTATAAAAGGGCATCACTGAGTGAGGATGCCTCATTCGAGAAGATGGCTCGCTGAGGAAGATCTGGCTCGACAGGAAGGCGAAGACGCAACGTCGAGGCGAACAACAAGCATGGACCATCGACTCGGATCACCGGCTCTGAGGAAGACGAAGACGTCGAAACGTTAGCCGAAAATAAATATATTTATCAGCCTCGTGTAAGCTTATCAAGAAAGAATACATATTGATTAATCACACCGAAGTTTAGGGAAGGTCGGTTTCGAAATATCAATACGTAGAGTTATGCCACGTGCCGCTCGCTGCTTCATGTACGACCTTACGACTCGTCCAGTCGTATATACTTCGAAATGCAGAACGCAGTGTTCTGCCCAATATATCTTTGATTCTTACTCCGCTTGTTATTACATTTTTGCAGGTAAACCAGAACGTTCTTCGATAATTCTTGCTTGATTTCAGCAACACTCACAAAGAACTAGGTAAGCGTCGAGTATGGATAACACCGTGATATATTATTTTTCACCTAAGAAATCATTTCTGAGTGCATAGTTAACGTCTTTTTGTTAGAATAAACTAAATTGATCCAAGTATAATAAAACGCTGTATTATGAGCGACTATTTCCAACCCATTGGTGCCGAAATGAATCATTCATGAAGCACACGTTTGAGGATAAATTCGTCGACATGAGTCATATACAGCTCATTAACTTTCCGGTTGTTTATTTCGCTGCGCGGAGCTTTTTCTGTTACTCTTTTCGTTCTCTTTTGATAGCTTATTCCATGCAGGCATTGTGACGAGTGTTGATCGGGAAGCTCTTATAGTACCAACTGTTATTCCCATAATCTTTCGCTATTTCTAGGTGTTGTACTTTAACACATTTACTTCACAATCAATTTTCGCTCTGCTGCTTAACTCTTATCTCGTCACTTAACAACCTTATAAACTCTATAATCATAGCAATTCCCACCTTTTAACACACACACACTTTACACAGATTTTACAGAAAAGTGCAACCACTACGATTCTGCAACCCTTATAGTCTTCGTATACAACTTTACCACCTGTAACTTTTACCACTTAACATATTCATGGGTAATTAGTGGAACAATCAGAAGAATAATACTTCTTACATTGGCCGCATCTCTCATATGGGCTCCCTGATTCATGGAATGTCGACTGCCATCATCGAGGATATGGCCATTTGAAAATGAGGACGCTTTTACTGTATTGATTTGAATCAAACTCAAAGAATTTCGGGGTTTGACATCATGCATCTGCACCTTCTCCACATTGTCATAGATTCTCGATAGCTTATTTGTCCTTAGTGTGGTACGCATTTACTGGCAAAATGCTACTTTCTATATTCGGTATAGACTTTCTTACCAGATTTGAATTTCTCGTGGAATTTCTGTTGAAAAGTTCGACTAACATCTTCCATTATCCGTTAAATGGAGGTACTTTAACGGTTTTTAAAAAATTTTCCTTTCAACAACTTAGAAAGAAGAGGATAGCTATTACGAGATGCGCTGGAACTCAAATAATATATCACCTGTGGCACCCTATGGTTTCCCATATTATTTTTTTGCATATTAAACCAGAGATCGATCGATATTTTCTTCACTTCAGCGATCGTAGGTTTTTCCTCCCTTCGAAGTCGTCACAATGAGTAATTGAAGTATGGAATGGGATAGAACTGAATATACAACAAAATTGACAGTTGAAGCTGACAGACCAAAGATGTGGTTGGATGGCAAATAAAAGATAAAGGATAAAGCTCTCGGTGTTGCTAATAAATCCCTGAAGGATGCGCCATGCATTCGATTTCATTAAGTACCTTTGGAGGTGATTGAACGCATATCAGGCCTCTACAATGACTCGCAGTGGCCTGCCGATGTATCGAGCCAGTGCTGCTATCCTCTCAGACAGGTCTGGTACCAATTTTCCGACCCCGGAGAGATGGAAGACTTAGTGGGCTATGGACGCGGGAATCGATTCAACGTGTATGTCGCAGTGGCGTTTCGAACCGCTGCGCTACACGCGTTGGACGGTAGACAAATTTTTTTCGCACCTCAGGCAAGGAGTATCTTTCAAAGGTATGAGAAGATACGTAGAAGAAGATAGAGGATAAAAGTATGCGGAAAACAGAAAATAATTGTAGACCAAAAAGTGGAACAAGAAAGCGGGGCTGTCGGTTAGGCGATACTTTAACTAGCACGGATGGACATCATGTAATAACTACCAATGTAGAAAATAATTATAGTGACCAAAACGCCAAATGTGCAGTAGTTCAGTGGTAGAATAACTAGATAGTACAATAGTTAGGTATTTGAATAATCGTTGCTGTGAACAAGTTGCAATACTCTACTTTCGGAACTGGATTTGTCTCGCGATGTCGGCTCACCGGTAGTTCTATAATGTATGTATGCTAGAGGTACCCTGTGACTTGTGGTTGCAGATCGATGTATCAAATAGCGTGTAGTCGTTGGTTCGATCCCGCGCTCCGGCTTCACCGAAATTCCCATTCCTCTGGTGCGGCAGATTAGTGTCAGACTTGTCTAAGAGGATATCAACACTTATTTGATACATCGTTCTGCAATCACATGCCATTGTCGAAGATATGGCATATCCATTACAGATTGGTCAACCCCGAACGCTTTATTCTTTATCTTTTATAAGTGTGGTCCTTGCAGATTTTAAGAGATGAGGATGATAGTCGAGAAATATAAATAGCAGCGATAGGCTACTGCAATAGGTTTGTAGGCTGTAGTTACGAGATTAACCGACGTGGTCCTGCTCTGAATAAGAACTTTATGAGAACTTTGGAGATAAAAGTCCCGCACGATTTCAGGCTGTTGCTTCCACATACTTGTGTCTGCCATCTAGGTAGTGTGACATTTATCAAACGTCTCTTAAGTTTGGGTGATTAAACTTTTACGTGAACAATAAAACAATTTGACAAAAAGAACTTGGCGAGATTAACGAATGTAAAATGGTTACGTGAAGACTAAAGAGTAACTTCGGTTCATACATGACACTGGACTATGAAAAGCTCAGTTGAGACTAATTAAGTTTGTGCTTACGAATAGCGGACTAGTCGAAACAGGCCAAGCAACAGAACACGAATTTTTAAAAGCCGACTTTCATTCATTTTTGGTAGCAGTAATTTTAATAACTAAATAATTATAATAATGAGTTATAATTATAATATAATTACAGTTGTAGTAATGGTAATTAACAATAATTTTCTATGTGGTTGAGCTAACGCGAGGTTGGTATAAAAGCTTTTATTCCGCTAACATGTCGGAATGTTTGCCTTCCTCAAACCACGTTGATCCGTTTTGATGGTCTCAGTTGGTCGTTGTTGCTATGTGGTTGTTAGTTGTCACATCCAATCGAATCCAGTGAAGGGAGAATCACTCAAATGAGGTACTGCACCAGCGGTGTCCTTTTATACAGCATGGATGTTGGTCTAGCAATACGTACTGCGTAGTCGACACGAACAACCACATCGCGACAACGACTGGTTTACTGTCAGGGTTGTGACTCCTTCCAAGCCAATGTTTTTGTAGGTATATAGATGTTAACACACAAAGAGATTCCGGATCGCTTCATAAACAATAGTTTTTATAAGTGTGAAGCTGTTAAAAGAATAAAAGCTCTCGGTGTTGATTAATCCCTGAAGGATGCGCCATATACACTCGACTTTAAGTATCGGTGGAGGTGAATGAATATCTGGCCTTTACAATGATTCGTAGTGGCCTGCCGATGTATCGAGCCAGTGTTGCTATCCTCCCAGACAAGTATGGCACCAGTTTGCCGATCCCGATGGAATGGAAGGCTTGGTGAACCACAGGCGTGGGGATCAATCCCAGTGTGCGTCGCAGAGCGCCTCCAACCACTGCGCCACACGCGCCCTATCTTCATTTCTTCAAACTGCTAACATACAAAAATATTACGGAACACTTTCGAGACTGAATTAAGTACGTGAACTGGCAGTCAAGAAGCAGTTTAAGTTCCGAGAGAAATGTATGAAGACATATAGAATGTCCTCTATTTGATGGGGAATGTTCTCTATACGTTGCGCCACACTCCCGTCCACACAAAATAGTGCACTAAGATGCGTCTTACCCATGGATAGGTTAATACTGTGGTAATTTTGGCTTCATAAAACACTTGTCGTGTGATTCCGACTTACCATAACAATTTCAGAAACTCGTGGCACCGATTCCGCTGGGATTTTCCTTCGAAGCAACCAGTCGTCCAAACCCAAATTCTGCATTTAAACCTTTTATCCACTCAATGTTTATCATCTCCTAACGAATCGTCAATTTGCTCTACCTTAATCGACGCTGGTTCTTCGAGATGACCTTTGAGTAGGTATACTTTTGACGGATACAAACATTTTAGGCAAAAAAGCAACAGCAAGCTTTCAAGTGGTGCTGGAAAATGTCATTCAATCGATCAGTTGTAACAGAATTGTGCTATTGATTCACAAGCACTAATTTCTTACCGAAACCCAAACCGAAATAGCATCCAAGGAATAGGTAGGTTCTTTGTGGTGGCATCCCGACTAACGAAAGTAATGTGATGAGCGAATCACCTTCTCCATAGATAGGACCCATGACGGTGACCTCACCCTGGAGCACTTTGTATGAAAATGAATAAAAAAAGGGAGAAATGAATTACATTGTAATGATATGGTCAAAAGCTTTTGACCAAGGTTATCTGTTGCTATATTTATTACATGACCTGTGACCACAAGTGTACCACACTGTGTGGATCCCGACAGTTCTTCCATTCGATTATTTTCCTCGCTGCTACCATCCACAAAATTTTTCGAACTTTTCTGCTTGTAGCTTCGCGTACCGCTTGAAGATTTTTTTGTCTTCGTCACGAATGTTGTTGAATGCTGAACGAGTCGATCTCCTCTGGAAACCTAGTGTAGCCATACTAGGCCGTTCCCAGGTGGATTCGAGAAAGTGATCTTGTCTTAAACAAGTCTGCTACCTAAGTTATTGACCCCGGAGAGATGGAAGCCTTAGTGGGCTCAGGGCGAGATCGAACCGCAGTTCCGGAATAGAAATTTGTTGGATATGCTCGAATTTCCCCTAAAAAAAACTGTGAATTTGTCTTCATTTTCCTTATGGAGCTAAAAATATCAATATGAATCTTCTGAATAACCAGTCTAATATTCTCGTCGGTCACATACTCAGGATAGTGAATAGGATACGCATGAACAGTTGTGTAACCAAAATATTATCTTTGCAACACTGTTTGAAATGTGGCTTTAAGAAATTGATCATTCAAAGGCTTTCAGTTTCATTCGATTAGCCAGTAACTTTTCTTTTAAAGAATGCCTTTTGACTAGCTGTATACGTACCTAATATGTGTTCCTCTACATACAATTAATTTAGCTGTTATTAAAAATCAAACCGACTTTTTCAGAGATCGTTACTTTTTCAAGGGATAAAAAACGGGACACTTGTGATGATGTTGGCGGAACGGTTGAATTGAGACACCTACATGTGGAAGTTGGAACGTAATAATGTTACTCGAATTTGAAATTGTTCTTTAAATTTTTGTTCCGAAAAGAGCATATCTTCAACCGTGTCCCACTGGATGGCGACTTGACTTGGACATTTTATCAGTAGTTTCTAATCTATAGATTCCTCTAAGATCAAGTAATCACCTGAAACGCTGTATCTTATGAAACTAGACCTAATGTTTTATCTTATTAATCGAAAATTGAAATTTTTAATGGAATTGCTTTACTTAAATCAATGGTAGAAAGAGTAATATAGTAGTAACGTCATTTTAAAGGATGACCAATCAACAATAGGAGGAACTCCATATTTTGTTACCATTTCTTTAAGTTGCCTCCAAACGGTTTACCTCTCATTGCGGCTAGGAGGTGTTCCTGAGTGTGGGGCTGCCATGTACGGAGGGGTTCACCCATCAGCAATGTCTCCCATGCTAAAGAGTCTGGTTTTTTCACCAGGAAGCCCAACTAAAAGTAAACTAATACCAGGGTCCGTCACCGTCCTGGTATCAAACTAGTCGCTTGGTGGCAAATCTCCCTCTGATCCGCAAGTGTAGAGGTTGCCTGTGGTGGTGACGAACAACGACAGGCTTTGGCCAAGTTAACCTTGGGACTCCTGAAAAATACAATGGCTAGGCCAGCAAAACTCCAAAAAATGGAGATTATGCTAGCGCCCGCACAAACAGTGAGGACGGAGCGTCCAAGTATCTAGGTAGGTATGGTTAAGTTGACAGTCCCTACTACGTTTTGTTTTGACATTGACGAGCGAATATTGTCTTCTGAAGCTTGACATACTCAACATCAAGCGAAAATCATCAAGCGATTTTTGACTTGCACTCAAAACGCCTATTTGCCACTTAGATTGCTAACTATAGGTTGAGATGAACAATAATAATCTGTTGCAGCCCGCATGGATACAGTCGTTCTCAGTATTGACTACGTTCGAAATGTGAATTTATGTTAAATGGCTCTCATCTCGCAGTCACCATCTACAATGGAAGATCATCTTGAAGACCATGTCTTCGACAGGACTAAAGATATGGACACCGTACTTAAAACTGGTTAGTATATGTGTCATCTGAGTACGTATTTCATTCGCGGCAATGTGAACCGAAAATATTTCAAACTTTCTACTTTGAATGAGCATATTTAAGTTGATATTACAGTATATCTTATCAATTTGAATAGAATCCGTTATTATCCTCATACTATTACCGATGAGGGACAAGTTTTTTTTTCCACATCAATGAAAAAATGGCTTTTCAGAGCCGAAAATCCTTTTTTGTCGTTTCATTTCGTCGACCCTTAGTGTACTCGTAATTTGAGCGAAGAAAACCTTAAGCGGGTGGAATTTCGTCCAGCAGGAAGAGTTGGTGTGGTATTTAAAATGTAATTACTTACTTACTTGATACTTGAACGACCCGCCATCACTAGTTGTGCGGGCCCCAGCATAATCACCATTTTTCGGAGATTTGCTGGATAAGCCATTGTGGTTCCCTGGAATCTCGAGGACAGCCTAGATAAAGTCTGCCCCAGGTCGTCACCACGACAGGCAGTCGCAGCTCTTGTAAATCGGGAGATTTACCACTATGCGGCTAGTTTGATAGAAGGACGGTTGTTGATCCTGGTATTGTTTTACTCTTAGCTAGACTTCCTGATGTAAACGCCAGACTCCTTCTCAGCTTGGGAGACTGTACCAAGGGAATGAATCCCCCTCTGTACATCGCAGTCCGACACCTAGGGACACCTCCCAGCCACGATGAGACAGTATATCGTTGGGAGGAAAATGTAAATAATGTTTTAGAAAAGTTATATACGGAAGTACAGCAGTCTTTGCGATAGAGTGGTCAAGTCCTCAGGTCCTCAAACGTTCTGTTACCATAAAAAGAAAGGATAAAGCTCTCGGCGTTGATCAATCCCTGAGGGATGCGCTATGCATTCGACTTCATTAAGCATCGTTTGGAGGTGATTGAATGCATATCTGGCCGTCACAATGACTCGCGGTGGCCTACTGATGTGATGATATATGGAGCCAGTGTTGCTAGCCTCTCAGACAAATACGGTACCAATTTACCGACTCCGGAGGGATCGAGAGCTTGGTTGATGGGGATCAGCAGTTGCAAAATATCGCCGAAAAAGATTAGAACCATCGTGAGTGTGTTAAAATAGGTACTGGTGCTATCTCATCGTATGTACAGCGATTGTTCTTATCAACTTTCTACCTCATCCTTTGTATCCCCATTTGAATGGTACAAATGGAATTGGGAGGAACGCTTGAAGTTACTCAATCACTTGGAAATTGTTTGTGCTAAAACTGATAATTGAAAGCCAACTGTGGGTAGAAATCTTTGGCTCTTGAATTGGTGCCATTAAATTTTTCTTGCGTGACCAGCCAATCCGAACTTTGCGGAGGTGCCATGCTACAAAAGTCATTATGAACTAAGCTCAACTTCACATCTACATTCACAGTGAAACCTTCCATGATAGATCAATCAAAACTGCTTATTTTGAAAGAGATGGCCACTGTCACGTTATTACGTCAGCAATTTGGATGTAGCATTCCTCAGTCGATCGCTCTCTCTAACGACACAAAAATCACTGCTATCATAGGGATCGATGCAGTCTGGGAAAAAAATCAAGTAGCAAAGCAGCAAAACTTACTGTATTCATAACGATCGGTAATCGCCATGCTCCAGGATTTGGACCAGTAGTCAACTTGTTAATGAAAAGTAGCGACAGAACGTCAAGCAGCAAGCGAATACACATACCTATGGGGTAGGGGGTTAGAGAGGGCGAAGTGAATGAAAGTGCTGGCGCCCTCACATCGTTTGAAGATGGACCATTTAGTTACCACCTAAGTGTAGTCTTGTTGCTTCTTTATTTTTCTAGTGGGCAGATTTTAATAAAAACGGGAAAACACAAAGTCTTACAGAAAGCTCAACAATGCTTGTTTCTTTCTCCATAATTTCTGTTGTGCGATACAGTAACGTTAAAAAGACATCCATTCTTATACAGGGCTTTGGGCAGTCCGGATAGAAATTCATGATGTAGGTCCAGACGTTCTTCGCGAATGTTTCTGAAGCACTTAAAATTGAAGTCGATTAATGATGTTGAGACGATATGGATTGTGAAAGTTAGCGAATGTGTAGAATATCGGGTGTTTAAAAGACGTTGTTCTTACCAAAGCAGATATTCGAGGCTGACATTCCTGCAGTCAATTCCATCGCTAATCCCTAAAATAAGTGATATAGTCATACAAAAGGTTATACAGGTTCAGCTCGTACTAGAAATGGAAACTCTGGGAGATTATAAGTCGCCTCACCTCTTGTTCACCACCGAGCATTATGGAAGGATAATTTCTAATGCAATTGACTTCACCTCCACGCGGCTTATCGATTATCATTAGAATGATCAACAACTGTTCTCGAATTAGGACAAAATTACAATTTCCTTCTTCTCCACTCGTAAACCATAAAGTAAAGGAGTAGCGTAGTGGTAGTGATTCCGTTCATTACGCGGACAACCTAGTATACTCGAGCAGCCGGAAAGTTGGTGTCGGACTATCCTGGGACAACCCTAATCCCTCCATTTACACGGGAATGTTCCAGTACGGCTATGTCAGGACTCGTGGAAACATCGACTCGACAAGCATTAACTACATTAGCGACAAAGATGAAAAAGTACTTATGCCGAAGCCACACATAAGAAAGTTCAAAGACTTTCGTGGAAAGTGGATGTGAAGGAGCCAGTTAAATGCACGAAATGCTGTGACCCGCTCAGTGTGAGACATTTGATATCGGGTCATGTAATGAACAAAAGAAAGTTATGAAAAAACCATCATTCAATCATAGAAGAGACAAAACATTGACTGTAAAAGCTCATAAGAATAAGGAATGAACGTAATAAAACCAACCTATTTATGAGATGTTGACTGTAGAACAGTTGTGGATGAGGATTTAAATTCGTTCCATGAGTGGAGGCGCGTGTGGTGCAGTGGTTGGAAGCACCTTGCAGTGCACACATAGGATCGAACCCGGCACCTGTAACTCACCAAGCCCTCCATCCCTTCGGTGTCGGTGAATTCGTCCCAGACTTATCTGGGAAAAGAGCAGCACTGGCTCGATACATCGGTAGACTACCGCAAATCATTGTAAAGGCCAGATATGCACTCAATCATCTCCAACGATGCTTAAGGAAGTCGAATGCATGGCGCATTCCTTGGGGGATTGATCAACGTCGAGAGTTTTATCCTTTGTCCTTATCCATGGAAGGGTTTTTACCTGTAGCATAGGTTGGCGATAAATCTTATTTAAATTGAGTTTCGCTTAACTCTAGATATATGCTACCTTTTATTTTTATTCATTTATTCATTCATTTATTTACATACACGACTTCACGCATTGTGCCAACCTGAGCACTTCTCAGCATGATGAACAATTTAGTTGCAGATCTGAGATCAGAAAAGAACTGTCGGCTTAGGAAGTTTAACAGCTCATTGAATATGCTTTTGAACATGACCTAACATAGCATGTATCAGAGTGAAGAATTCAGCAAGTATCCAACGTAATTAAGACAGAGAATCCAAGCTTCCCATGTCAACGAATGAAGATCAGTGAATCTACTGGATACCTTGAGATCTCAAAAATTGGAAGCACGCGAAAAGCAGGCATTGTTCATTTGACGGATGGCACGGGTAAGTAGGTATTCATTATAGCTGTTATAGTGGTGCAATTACCTATGTCTTTATCTTTGCTTACTTTTACACTTTATCATATTTGTGTTTGGCTTCTCATACTTTTTTCTGTTTACAATAATGGAAGATTGGTGCAGTCATTTCACGTTTCTTGCACCTTTCGAAAATTTCATAAAGGATGTACGATGTAAGCGCCGCATTGATCATTCACTTGAATTCAGCATTCGTCCAAGGGATGAACGAATTTCTCATTGATAGTCGTAGAACTGCTCGAATCCAAATTTGGGCTTGAAATGTGCTTGTCACAAACAGTCCTCAGAGTTCGTATATGGTAAAAATCAGAACATAGGAAAACTAAGTAGTCGGAATTACACGTAAAGAATGTTGGGTAAATATACTTCAGCACATCGCACTCGCGTCTCACTTAAAACTAGAACAAGTTGACTAGGCGGATTTGTGCAGACGTTCGCATCGACGCGGCCATTAGCTCCATGGCTGTTTGCCGTGTATTATGGCACATCGCTCCAACGAAGTAGCACAGAAAAACTTGGTATTTGGATTCGGTTTTGTCGGAGTTGATTGGTGTCCACACTGCTGCTATAAGAGAGCAACTGTATAGTCGTTGTAAAGCACTCACCATTCGTCACTTTTCACCAGTCGCTCTAAAAATTCCTTTTGCTGGCTCCGCAGCAGTGACAAGCAGGTCGAAGCCCCAGTAGGTCACTTCGTTCTAACACAACTTGTGTTGCATCGATGAGCTATGACTTTGAAGTAGATGAATGCATGCATAATCCTCACCGAGTTCGAGTTTCAAGGTTCAGCAGTCGTATACATCAACGACGATTTGATGTTGCCGGCTGCTATGCGTTTCCTGTTACCGAGCTGGTACTCAAAGCAGATCATCTCGAATTTTGTGTTTGTCTATTTTACCTTCTACTCTTGTTATTTACAACCCCAAGCGCTTTTCAAAACCTCGGAGAGTCTTTCGTCGACTCAAATGTGTATTTCAAACAAGCAAATGTGACCATGAAGACTAGTATACAACAACCGGGAAATAACGCGCTAATACCACCTTCCGCTTGATCAAAGAATGATCCGAATGGGCATTCATAGACGATACTGTCATTAAATGACGTGACATACTCAACGCATCTCATTGTCGATTTCGTAATCTATGCATCAATACTTTCGTTGTATTTCGAGTTGAGACAAACGTTACTGCCATGAGATTTTTGGGTAGGATGTGTCTACACTTATTCAGCGTAAATCACAGCGACTTTCGTAATACCCTGTAATCTCATCTGGTCATCCCCGTCTCCATCTTCTGCATCAGGAGAAACTTAGTGCTATGGTCAGAGAATTTAACTAGTCATCCTCTATCACTGATAGTATTGGAATATAAGCTGACCGAATAGGAAAGGCCATCATATCCGAATATTGTATCGGAAAGTTCGCAGTATGGAATAGAAATGAGGACAAAAATACCTTTTTGGGCCGCTATCCATAATATTAATATCACCAATAGTTCCTATGGCATGGAATCGGTCCTCAAGAAAAAAATTTGTTACTGGAGAAGTATTTAGGTTATAGTTCTTAAAAAGATCACTTCAGACAAATTGACCCCTGCTCGTCTTATCAGGTTTGATCAATGTCTTCTTATTTGTAGTGTGTTGTTCAGAAAACTCTCAACGACAAATTACACCGCAACTTTTGTCATTACCAGAGAATGGAAAGACAATCTGTGAATAGCGGAAACCTTTTAGGGTGTAGTTTCCCTGTAGGACTGGTAAGTCGAGGAAAGATAAACTGAGAACTGTAGGTTCATTCTCAGAGGACTACGGAACTGTACCCAGTACACTTCATTCCATAAGTCCGAAATTTGTGTCACGTCTTCACCGCCTAACAGAATTTTTTTTTTCGGAAACGAAAGAAAACTGCTTCAACTGACCTCACACTTTGATAATAACTAAAAGCTCTTCGATGAAATTCTGCAGGCTGTCGGCTTGTCTTTTGTGAACAGAAATCGCCGTTTTCGGGCATTCGAAACCAGCACAAGATTCTCGTTGACTCCGCACTTGATATGAAGACATGCGTAAGCGTCTTCCCTTTCATACTCCGTGCTGAAAGAAAAAGCTATTTCGAATCCTTACCTTAAAACTTTGGATTACGATGGAAACGATAAAACTAAGCGGAATGAAAACTTCAGATTCGAACAAAATAAGCAATGGTTTCCTTAAAGTTTGAGGTCGTGGACTACATAGACTTCTGCTAACAACAGCATCCTGTAAATGGAAAAACCACAAGCATATGATGCATTTCGAATTGTGCGATACTGCTTGAGTATAGTGTAGAAGCTCTCCACAAAATTTCTGTTGTGACATATTAAGTCCATTCAATGAAAGTTTAACCAGTTGAACATCACTTCAACCAAAATTTATAAGCATAGCTACATCTAGACAATAGCTATAAACGACTGTAATAATTATTAACTTTTTCTTCCAGTTCTTTTCGACAATTAAAAAGCTATTGGTGGTGTCAAAACGGAATCCGTTTTGTCACTCTTCAATCAGGGAATTTCTCTTACGTAAAACTTTAGTCGATTGGTACCACCTACCTTACTTCTTCCATCACTTTCCCATCATACTTACAAAAGACATCGTTCTCCTAGTCGGATCCATCTCGTCAAACTACACACCTCTGCACTTCAGTTTACAATAAAATGGCTTCATTAAGGCGATAGCATTCGCATTTATGCAAAATTCCCGTCAAACCTTCATTTCATCGACATTATTATATTCACGATAAGTACCACTTAAGAAGAATCGATGCCAGAATAATTTAAGGAGACGTGTGGAAGGGTCAGACTGCAAGTAGATCGGAAGTAATATTTCGTGGAAGAACGCTGGTGTGATGGGAATGAATTGCTTTACAGTGCATTAAGAAAAGATTTCCTTACTAGATGTCGTGTTTACTTACTTGATACTTGAACGACTTATCCTCATTAGTTGTGCGGACCCCAGCATAATCACCATTTTTCGGAAATTTGTTGGCTAAAACATTGTGGTTCCCAAAA